CTCAAACATAGTCTTTTAATAATAATGGAAAATGCTATGGATAAGAAGTGCTTGTTTTCATGGATATTTCGTACGCCAATATGCCTGAGGTATTGAGAAATATATCTTACTACTGTCAAACCGTTTGACTGTGCTGTGATCAAACCCAAATTTGACAGGATTTATCTTTATTTCTCTATTATCTATCCTTAGGGACACGGCGGTAGATTATTTGTACATTCAAAGCTTACAGCAACATCTGAACGTAACATAAAAATCTATTTCCATAAGTGGAGAAGTTTCGTGATATTCAGTATCGCATAAGTAATGACATATAGTACCAGCAAAATATAGACTAAATATAATCAGCCAGTGAAAAATTATTGAAATCGGCCAGTAAATTGATTCTTAAATTTGGCGCATTATAGCGTGAAATTATTGCCTGCCGTTCGCATCTGACGTCACACTTCTCTAGTGCCCAGCGTCTTTGCGTCTAATCATTAGTCTATAGACAATTCATAAGACACACCTTTGCGAAACCGATCGTATATGCAGTCAACTAAGTAATTAAACAAATTGGGGCGGAAGACGTTTAGCCTATCATGTGTCCCGCTGTATGTGTGCCTATGCATGTGTTTAGGAGATTGAGTCGGCTCGGGCCCAGGAATCGGCCACGGGCTTTACAACTGAAGTGTGACGTCACACGTAAAGTACACGCGGAATAAAAATATTCTCGCGGGGCGCAACACACGGAATAAAACCATTATCGCGGGGCGCAACACACGGAATAAAAGTATTCTCGCGGGGCGCAACTTTGATAGCATGTAACTTTTTTGTTTTTAGAGATAAATTCATAATTTTTTCACCATCTTGTTTCATTTTTCCTAAACTTTCATTTGAGCTAATAACGAAAAAATGGTAAACTTGTCCATTGTGGCCGAACACAAACACAAATATGAATTAAATAATAATTAGAAAACGTCTAAACTACAGTTCTGGACTGACATGTAAACAATGTGAATATTAAATTGATACAAGTCATAACCTTTTTGACCCAGTAAAAATATGAACGTGGTATATTGTAATCACAGTATTTCTCCATTAGCAGCAACCAGGGAGCTTATCGTGTATGCGGCTGAACTGATTCCAAAGTTTATTAATTCTCCAACAAAGAACATACTTTAATGTTAGGTTAAAGGTCAGACAAATACATCTATTAGAAAAACTATGACTTTATTCGCGCTATGATGAATCGTTAGAATTAGTACATTGCCCCGTTTGTTGATGCAAAAAATTGATCGAATCTAGGGTAATCCGTGTTATGTCAACCTTGGCATCGAGTGAAGTGCTGAGAAACAGTCGCGCTTCTTTTCTGGTTTTCCCGCTACTGTTCACCAGTTGGTTTCCTCTGTACTAGCAGCTTACCAGGCTAATCGAATTGACTGGCACGGCCCTGGTGACTAATTCGGTTTCATTGCTCCTCGCATCAGGGGCGCCGCTATAGGGGTTTGTAACAAATTATGATCGCACAAAATAGCCAAACTTAGTATGAAGGATTTACATGCATCAGGTTAGACAAACAGGCTTATACCAACGCTACCTTGCAAACAATCGGTCCCCAGTTATCCTATCCATTCGTTGCGATCTAATGACTAAATCTGGGCAACGGCCCACAGGGATATTGCGTATCTTATAAAGTGACATTATGTCGTTTTTTGACATCATATTGAATTTTTGTTACATTATGTAGGTTTTTATAGAAAGTATCAACTTAGCACTAGCTGTTGTACACCGAAGCAGCTGCGGAGGCTGAAGCTTAAATGCAAGGACTGCTATGAGGACCCCAAAAAAACTTTGTTAATCCAATTTTTGAACTGCCTAAGGTTAACGCCTCCTTTTGTAGGTTGTTTCACAATCTCGACACCCTAGGTACCTACACAGGAACGGTCGTATCGGCCAGTTCTGGATGTACGAAGCTCGACATGGTTAGGATGGAAGACCGAAGTCAGGCGGGACTGTCTGGCAGCTTGTTGGTGTAGCGGTAGAAGAGAGCTAGATCGCCAACGGCCTGCCGGTGTGAAAGGGTCCCTAGACTGTCTGTTAGAGAAGAGTCATCGATCAGTCGGACAGCTCTCCTCTGGACAGCATCGAATGGATAATGTAGTCGGAGCCGCAAACGCGGAATGTGGTATTTGGACACGAGGAACTACCTAGGCAGCAAGTTGACATTTTGTCGTTTTTTTGACGTCTTTTACGTAATAACCTTGCCGGTTGCGAAGGGTTAATCTTCTACACCTTCGTTATGCCATTGATTAATACATTCTACCGGGTAATAGCCAATCTAATACTATATTCGTGCGTCAGAAAAAGTATCCGAGATGAAATAAGATACCGTAGCGTCATCTATATGAGAATTTGTCACAGCTATGTTTCTCCTCGCCGGAATTATTAGAAGTCTATTTTGAAAAGGTTTGTGTTTCGTGGATCGCGCTGACGTTTTCAATGTAGATTCCGCATTATTGCAGAGTAGGGAAAGATCATTGTTACCCAAAAATTATGGCTTCAGTAACAGCAAAACATTAAGAGAATAGCATCTTTATATGAAATTTTGATCCAAAATCAGAATAAATCTTGCAGGGGTTTTTTAGTTATTATACTTTCGGCGTTGAACTCATAAGCAGGAATCAGAGTTCTATGTATAGCTGCTTCAAATCACAAATAAAGATTCGTGACGTAGACAAACCTTCACATAGAATGATTATACCTATACGTGGAATTGATGTACGGTTTGGTGCGTTCCAAACATTATGTGATTTTTAAGCACCTTTGAATCGTTATCATATGTATAAACAGTAAGTAGGGAATACATCGGTTTCTTATCGCTCCGGCACAACCGACAAGTGGGAGAGCAAACATCTGAAATACTGGATCATCAGCACCACGGTATATCGACGAATAGATAATATGCGAAGATTATTGTAAGACTCTTTCCAGAGAAGCAATGGTAGTTTGTTCAACTAGCTAAAGCTGTTGACCGGATTTTTTAAATACTGGAGTGAATGAAATACCACATAAAAGGTCTTACTCAAAGTGTTGCCTGTTTTACGAATACGTTAAGATAGGTTTTTTGGTTGTATTTAGTATATTTACGGCACGAAATCGTTTATCTCTCGGACTAATTATCATCATTTCGATTTTTTACTCGAAACCGTTTAGGAGAGACATGCTGACTGTATGATTATTTTTTCAAGAGATTGTCAGAAAATTCCTTTTAAACGTACCTTCCTTACTGGCATTGAAAGATATGTAAGTCATTGCTATATTTTACTGAATTTTTCTAACGTTATTATATATACTATATCTCTAGGTAACATCAATTTTCTCGTTAGTGATCCATCAAGATCTCTAAGATGGTGATTTTTTGTAGGCCACCCCAATCATTCCATCGGTATAACTAAAATCCGGCACTAATATGCCGGGAAATATATCGCCCATTATAAAGCAACCCGGTTCATAAAAAATTACCCTTGAACTTCGACTTGTTTGTTAAGACACTCGACACCCTGTATATGCACTCGTATATTGCCTGTAGTATTGCGTTAATCTGTGTCGATAATGTAAACTGTAAAATGTAGTTGGCGCTATAATTGTTTACTGCACTTTGGAATTCCGATATACATTGATTTTCTGTTGTTTATAAAATAGTATACCAAGAAACAATAAATAATACAAACAACTGGAATGATTCTACCTGTAATTGGAAAGTAACCCACTTTTCAGTCACTGTGTATGGTATTTCTTAGAAAACCTTTGTACTTGATAACCAGTTTTCAAACCAAAAATTTACGGTACAGCTAAACATTTAAACCTACCACAGTAATACTAAAAAAGTGCATAGATTATCGTACATCTATACATTTTTTTTCGGACTTCTGTACACTTCTTACGGTATTGTAAATAACAGAACGACAAATATGGCCCTAAAATAGCATTTTAGATGTTTTCTGATAGCATTTTACAGTCAAAACAATATCAATAATTATAAAGCTAAAGAAATCAGAAAAACTTCAAATTTCGAGATCATACGTACCTCAATCGTTTCTTAAGCCCAACAAAGTATGTTTCAACAGTTTTTTAAATTTTTATCATACTAATAAAAATTTGATAAAACCCGACTCGAGTCAGGATGACATTTAATTATACTAGGTCTGTAAATTAAGTGATGAGACTGGCAACGTAGCTTTTGATTTGGCAACACTGGAGGTACCGGGCTTGGAGGGGAGACAGGGGAACATGTTATCCGCCTTCAATACAAGTTTGGACTCCCTCGACTTATTTGGTTGGCCGTGGCGATTTTTTTTGTTACAGGTTTTGCTTCAGACTTCGACACCGTGCAAAGAAAATTCTTGCTAAACTTCGGCAGGCCTATGGAGATAGTGTTTTGTCCAGAGTCCATGTTTTTTCGGTAGCTTAAGAGATTTTCTGAAGGGAGAGAGTCCATTGAAGATGAACTATGAAGCGGAAGACCTTCATCTTCAAAAAGCGATGAAAATATCGACAGATTCCGGGATCTTGTGCGTTCAGAACGTCAGTTGACAGTTAGAACGACCAGGAAAGATTTAAATTTTACTTCACCACCGTTAATCAGGGCAACTGGGTGTTGTATCGATATAATGCTCTTTGCCGCACAGCAATGTCAGTAAACGAGTTTTTGGCCAGTAAAAACATTGTTATGGATCATCAGGCTCTTTATTCGCCTGACTTGAGTTCTTGTGACTGTCTCTTTTTCCGGAGCTAAAAAATCATCTCAAAGAAACTTATTTTGGAATAGAGGAGAATATTCAAATGGCTGTAACGGGTCAGCTGAAGGCTATTCTAGTATCGGAGTTTAGTAATGCTATGAGGAGTGATAAAATTGCAATTATATTTGAAAAGAAAATTTTAAAAAATAAGCCCCCACTTAATTTACAGACGTCGTGCCCTATAACCGCTCTACTTCTACGCCGCTGAGGTGCTGTACCGTTTCCGCGATCCCGCCGTCGAAGCGTAACAACGACGGCCATGCATCAGCATCAAGTTCTGTTTCAGTCCACCGGGGTACTCTACTGCAAGCGCATCGTACGAGTGTGTTGTTCCGTCTCTCTCTCTCTCTCTTTCTGTTCATTGGATACCGCGTCCGTGACTACCACCAGGCCATGTGCCCTTCTGTTCCTTGCCCTTGAGTAAACGCGCTGCAGCGATTAATGTCCCGTTAGAAGATCGTTCTGAGTGCGTGGGTGTATCTTACTTGTTTGGATTTAGGGACATACTTCCACATGATGTCTTCTTGGATTAGAAGGTCGATGAGGTCTAAAATCAGTGTTGTTCATACTGTGGAGAGTTGCAGTGAGGTCGATGATGCTAGCTCCACATACTCCGAAGATTCGGTGAGTAAGGGAATATGTATCCTGCTCGAAGGCCAAAATTTTGTATGCACTGAAAAACTTTTCATTTTGCAAAGACTGCAAAATCATAAGTAAATACCACAAATTACATATGAAGACATTTTTTTCTATGTTTTATTAGTTCACTCAGTACTCTCAGCTGTTGTTTGGTTTACTTATTTAGTAACTAACACCATTTAGAGATGAACAATTCCGTTTCCTACTGGGCACAGTACACCTTCTTCACTACTCCTTTTATCAGACAATAAGCTAAAATATATTGGACTTTATGACATTCCTCTCAAGCTTTTTGAAACTTAACTAATCGTAGACAAAATATAAAGACAGTTAGAGGTGTCTCATATTCTGTGGCTGTTTTTTCAGGTGACCCTCAGCGGTCTGTTTTAGGTCCTTTGCTGTATTTGATACATACTTTCAACCCACATTCATGTGTTGAACATTGTAGGTATATGATGGTAAGAATATAAATAGATATCAAACAGCTGTTACAAACATACTCGTATCGTATACTGAACCCACAAAACTCTGTAATAGGGTACGAACTGCTGAACTTAGAGGCCATGCATCTTAAAAACATCTCATGAAGAAACTTCGGGCCCATGGACACTTTTTTTACGTGTTGAGATCATAAACATACTAATTTTTCAAAAATGGACGACAGCCAATTCATCTCAAAAAATTGATGCTGCTCGTTTAGTTCCAAATCTCCGATTAAAAAACAGATATAAGCACATATAGTGTGACCACAGTGTTTGAACCTCGGTTTGATCTGTACAAAACCAAAATATAATTTAACCCAGAAGATTCTCGTAAATGATTACGGCTACAAAAGGAAGAAATTAGGGCATATTTTCAACCACATCCTTACAATCTTAGGTACAATGTTTTTAAGTTTCAATAAAGCTAGCCAAACATAGGTAATAGCAATATTCTTGAGGACTCCTCCTTCTCTAATCAGTTCGTTTTCTTCTTCTAGACTCCTAACTATGCATTGGAAATATAAAAAAGATACCTATACAACTTCCTGAACGTTTAATAAAAACTCGATGTAGTAAAACTGGTATACCATTAACATTCACCTATTATAACGGAATACAATATTACCAAGAGTATTGTTTACAAACACGATGCGAATTTGTAGCAGCCTTGCTATGTGCCTTGACTTTTCTGTTGTAAAATTGCGATTGATCGTTCAAATGTCAAGAAAACACTCTTTTTTGGCAGGGGAAAGCTTTTACAGCCACTCTAAAGCAGAAAAGAACGACGATATTGCCCTGTTGGCCTTTCCTCCCCAAGTGTGAATTTCTCCAGAAGCGGCATACTCACTAATACCACTCAGTTATTCACTACATAGCTAGCAGCATTTCGTCATGGTGAGTAGCAGTGCGTTAAGTTTTCATACCAGAGGTCACTTATTCCCGTCGACGGACTCATACATAAGCATCTTTGTATATACAGGGTGACTTTGAAGTTGAGTCATTAATTTTCAGATAATGATTGTAGAAGGAGGATAAACCAAAATATGTGTGTAAAAATCAAAAAAAAATGTTACCTTGTTTTATAAAGTATCCTTCCGACAAGTATTTCAGTGCGGACCTGTATTTGATCGTGCGGTCTTGGAGCACCGGCATGCCCTCCCCTGTGAGGTCTTAAGTCACCTGATTCACGAGCCCTTTGTACTACATTAACAAAGGCACGAGGGGTTCGTTGCACTCGATTGAGAAACCGATTCGCACAAATCCGTGATGCCGCGGCAGCATTTTGTAAAGACTCCCCCCCGTAAACAAGAATCATGTCCACAAGTTGAGCATTTTCGTAAACATGTGCCATTTTTTATTTCGTTTGAGCCACGCAACAAATACCACTATTCACTCACGCGTTACCGAATGACGAAAAACATCGTGATAAACGTTTCAAATTCTTTCGCTCTTTTGCTTCTGATGCGATGAACCGATATATCCGTTGTTGCCAAACACGAGCACATAATATTATGATTGAGACAGGACGGTACTCAAACTTCTAAAGGGCTATAACTTTGTTACTTTTAATTTTACCAGAAAAATGTTAAAGGAAAAAACATTTCTTTTGATCAGATCTACTCACTGTTAAAATAAATGACTCAACTTCGAAGTCACCCTGTATATGTACAATCCAGCAAGTAGAAACCTATTTATTATTGGTTCCTCAGTCTGTTCTTATCATCCTGTACATACCTCAGCATCGTCCGTCTCATTATTGTTTGAATATTTGCCCTCGCTTACATGTCTGGCAAAATTGTGCAATTCCAGTTGCCTCTGGTCTCTGTCCAACCCGACTACATTCAAGTATATAAGAATAAGATATGATGAGTATCCTCTCCTTCGTTGCAATGTACCCAGTTCGCGTACTCTTTTTCTTACCCTCTTCAGGTAGCTATCAAAACAAGATGAGGAACTGGGTAGTATAGTATTCTAACCACACCGCTTCCTGGGGAATCGTAAGTTTTAATATTTTGGATTAACCTTCTAGTCCATGCACCGTGGCCACTTGCATCCCATCTTTCCCGGCATCTGACAAAAAATGCCTCTCTTTCGTCGCTTCTAGCTTCGGCGCTTATTTTATAGACCGCGCATCTCTCCTCAGCCAGAAACTCAATTGACGGGATACCGGCCACCACCAGCAGTGCATCGGCCGACACCGTTCTGTATGTACTAGATTTTGCTGGCTACTGAGCATTAACGGTCTTTATTTCTTTTTCCTCGGGGCCTTGCTGTAGATGGGAACTCCATACAGCATAATCGAGTTTCTCACTTCTATCAAAATCCTGCGCTACATAGGCCTCCAACAGATGGCTTGTGCCCTATCAAAGATGCGACGACTTTATTTACCTTGTCACTGGTGTGCATTATACAGGGTGCGGCAGAGAGGACGGACGTTTTTGGGATGGGTAGTACTCTCCGCCTCCGTCTACGAGAGAGGTGGGGAGGGTGCCGTTTGACTCGAGAGATCCTAGCATTATTTTACCAGTTATCGTTATGGAGGTCTTGAACGGTGGATCACCGCGTTTTCGCCTATGATTGTTTCGTCCGAAATAATTAGTGAGTCATCGTCATACAGTGTGAGTTTCGTCGCCACTTCAACATTCATCGGAATAGAGCTGTTCCCTCTCGAAACACCATCCTTCGTTGGGGTGAATCACTTCGCAGGCGTGGTGAATTGATCAACAGAAGACCAAGAGGAGCGCCGCGAACAGTTTGAACTCCTGAAAATGTTGAACGCGTTCGACAGGTCTTTCTTCGCAGTCCGACCCGGTCTGCCCGGAAACTTGCTGCTGCACTTCGCCTTAGTGATCGTTCGGTAAGGCAAATTTTGCATATGGATCTCCGCTTTCACCCCTACAAATTGGCCATTGAGTAACAGTTACAGCCCGGAGATTATGCACAACGAATGAACTTCGCACGTGAGATGGAAGCACTGATCGATCAAAATGAGAACCTCATTTTGTTTATGAGTGACGAAGCCCACTTTCACACTGCATCAACGATTTCGGCCACCACATGCCTGATGTGATTTTCCACACTTGACTGTCTCAAATGATATTTCCTTGTGAACCTGATTCCATCAATAAATTTGTTTTCGAGTAAAAATTAACTATTTTATGATTTTTTTAAAACCGTTCATCCTCTCTGCCGCACCCTGTATATCCAATCACTTTCAGATCTTTGTCGCGCCACACGCCCCAATAATTGCATTTGGGCTTCAATTCTTGGCATTTTCAACAATAACAACTAATGAAGTTAGCTTCTGTCTGCCATAAAGTATAACCACATTCGAGTTCTCAGGAGCTAATTTCAATCTATTTTCATGTGGTAATTCTCGTGATTCCACATCCCAAAAGACCTTCTAGTGCACCTTTCTCCTTGCTAGTCACTATAATCGCGAGGTCGTCAGCATACTCTATCAGGCGAACTCCCGGCAGCATCTGCAAACAAAGGACCCCATCGTAGAACACGTTTCAGCGTGATGGCCCTAGGTCGGAGCTCAGCGGTACTCCCATTGGTTACCTTGATCGAATTTTGTCCTACCAAAAGAATTCTCTCGTTGAAGTATCCCTTGAATTGAAGGCATTCTTAACATCAAAGGCAACCATAACGCAAATCTTCTTACTACTGATATACGGTAGACTAACTTTCTAAATCCATACTGCGAGCGAGACAGTCCGTTCTCTTCCTCGACGTATTTTGCTTCGCCTACCTTCTATCAGTTGTTCTTGAAGCTTTCCCAGTGAAATCGGCATAAACACTTGTCTATATCTGACTCCCCTATCGATGGACTCAGAGGTTTTGGGATGAGTACCAAACCAGCCTCCTTCCATCTTTTCAGTAAAGTATTTCTCTTACCACCACTTTCCCGATCTCGTTTGAAGTTCGTCGGGTATCTAAGTTGTTTTCAGGTGCGTTGCAGCTTCTTCCACCTCATTTTTGGTGAACTCTCCAGAGTCTCTCAAGAAATTACCTTGCTACTCTTTTACCAACAGACACAGATATTGCGACAAAAATAAATACAAGATAAAAAAATGACGTATCTCGTATCATTAATATTCACGCTCACCAAATCGGAAGTGAAGTTACACCTGGGTACAAGTGGTGCATAAAGTTGAATGTAATCTATAAGTGTTTAAAAGCTCTTAAGAAGGTACTTCCTATCAGCCAAGTGAAAAGGAAACATTAAACAGACGCCTAAAGCTGTGTATACGAAAAGAAATTCTAAGACACATTGGCTTATTGCTTGAGCTGAATCCTTATCATTTTAACAACAGAAAAATAGTAGCTAACAACCAATGAAACGGTTTACATTTGGTTTACATAAGAAACATTCCAAAAACAATACACTTTGAAGGAATTACCTGCACAGCCAAAACATGTAAGTAGAAGGGATAGGGCGAGGAATGATACTCGTCAGTGAGGCAAAGTTTAGCCAAAAGGGCTACCCTTGCACTTAAC